ATTTACCCCCCCCCCCTCCAGAGCAAAAATGTGGAGTGCATTTGGTAGCTGATGGGTTTGTTCACGGTGGTCACGTCTTGGCCCACGAACAGACGCAGCCAAGAGCCTGGATTCGACTCCTGGGTTTTGACATAGAGATTCAGAATCAGAATATGTGTTTCTACTGGAAGAATCCGATGAGCTATAAAGCTCTTTTTTCACAGATGTCCAGTGGCGGGTCAGAAACGTTACAACAACAAACAATATTTAAACGCTAGGAGTGCAAAGTATCGGAAAGGTAAACAAATCACATTAAAACTATATACAAATTAAACTAAACTTTTTTTTTTTACCAGGTAAAACCTGCTGTGCTATTAGGTTATTTTTCAGAAGCGACCTGGCCACAAATGATAGCTCAACGAAGTCGCCAAACTTGTGCAAATGTACATATTGCCTCGGCCTGGTCGCTAATAACGTCGTATTGATTGGATTTTTTTTTCATTTGGAGCTCGAGTCAGCTGTGAGAGGACTCATTCAGCAGATGATACAAGGCAAGGCTGAAGACAGTCGTGGTGGTGGTGGTGGTAAGGGAGGCCCTTAGGATTCTATTAATGACCTGTCCATGGTGCCTTTCCAGTTGCATTCCATAATGAAATGTAATTTCTCATGCCTAAAATAGACTTAGAAAAAAAAAGCTGGATCTTTGCACCCACACACTGACAGCGGGCGGCTGTTGTGAAAAATGTGGTGAGCAAAAATGCGAACGACGATAATAATTGAACGGACGGAGAGTAATGCTGCAGTAGATGATACCCTCCCATCGACTCATTCAATTAGTCATCACATCATCGTCATTATCATCATCCTCATATCTATAACGTTCACCGCGCCCAGATCCATCTGGTCCCATGCCCCACAGTGTGTATTTGTACCATCGTTAATTCACTGTACAGCGCTTTGGTTAACGCGCTTATTTTTCATACCTTGATACTGGCAAAAAAAAATCCTATGATATAGCTGCTCACCCAGATCGATAAATGCTCTGATACGTGCATTGTCTTCGTTCTGTTTGCCTTTGGCGTCCTCTGGTCTGACACTTTTGAGAGTAGGCTATAAAGAAGACTGTCTCTGGTGTAGGCCAATCAATTAAAAAAAACAATGCATATATTAGCGGAGCATGTTTGTATGTTTACCACAAGTACTGTGTGTGGTTAATGCGGACTTGATTCCTTGAAAAAGGTATCTACCTGGTGTTTGAACATCTTAACACCTGTTGTATTACCAGAAAGGTCAAAACTTGTTCAACACGTAGGTTTTCGCGACCAGTATTATCCAAAATAGAGGTTTTTTTGGGTTAGATCGGGTAAATATAAATGTGGCGTTAAAGCAGCCACCACCAGACACAGCCAATTAGCAAGGTTTGTCACGTAAACAAGACATGTCAATTCGTTACTCGTACAGCACACTGGTGTGTTGGAAAATAAATCCACAACATTTACAATTCGATTACGACGTTTTGCCAGTAATTGCAACTAGCATCATTGGGCGACAGCCAGATTTGTGTAGAAATCCTCCTGTTTCGTTCTTAAAAAGAGGGATTAATATGATGTCGTCACTTGTGATCCAATCTATTATTAAACCTATTCTTATTTTTCAAATGACAAAGAGTATTTGGCTGCTATACATTTCCAAGTGACGATAAGCCACTTCGTTGAGCTATCATTTGTGATGGCCTGGTCGCGTGTCAAAAATAGCTACATTGCACAGTCGGCCTTACCTGGTAAAAATTAAAAGTAGTTTTAAATATTACTTGGTTGAACTAGTTTTAAATATTACTTTGTACAATAAAAAAATAAACCTACAAGACGATCTGCACCAGCATGGAAGTGGGGGGGGGGCGCTCTCAAGAGCTCCCTCTATAGTCGAGGCCCCTATCGCAAGGCAATGTGGTGTGAGCATTTGCAGGGCTGCGCCTGTACCTTGTTGTTGTTGTCCGAGACGTCGTATGCAAAATGAGTTCACGTCACATCTGCAGCCAATCAGAAGTGCCATCGATTGACGGCAGCGTTAAAAGGGGATTCTGAAAGCCTTAGCAGTTCAGACTTTAGCAACTACGGTTCCCATTCAGGACAGCTGGCAGACTGCCTCACTGGCGACGCCGCGACGGTGAAGGTGGTGGCGGCGACGAAGACTCCAGCAGCAGCACGACGGGGATCCCACTCCAAACGACAGCCACGAGGTCCGCGTGGCCTGGCTCCGCCCCCAAGGCCACGCCCCCCTTCTGGAACCCACAAGCGGGTTCTCGATGTGCCCCTTCCATAACCTTTCCCCTACATCCCTCTCTTTGGTCTGTCACGTGACCTGCTGTCAGTCAGGGCTGCTGTAAATGCAGATCCCCCTTCCCTACCAGCAGCCAGCACTATGCTGCTAAGTGACCGATGCTATGTCACTACACTTGTATCAGAATATGTATTTATACAGGAGGAATCCAATGAGCTATAAAGCTCTTTTTTCACACATCTTCCAGTCGGGGTGGGTATCCACAGTTCTCAAAGCTCCTGACCGTCTTCTCATGCATGTGTGTGTGTGGACGTGTGCATGTGTGCGTGCACGCGTGTGTATATATATTCGAGGGCAGTGGTAATATTAATGCCTAAGGGTTAATCTGTTATATTTGCTTCATATTTTAAAAATATGCATTTCGCTGTCGCATTAAAACACCCTTCTCGTCACGCTTTTTGCAAACATCGCTCCGTGCGAACGGTGGCCCGACGAGTGACTACCCGCAGTGGTTGTCCAAAAGATAGACTCGCCCCCCCCCGCCCGCCATATGAACGTGGACTAACATTGGCTCAGAGCGCTGTAAACATCATGATGAGCACTACCATAACACCTTTTAGCCGTACGGCGCGCCCCTCTTTGTTGCGAGCGTCGCTCCTCCACCCTCCGTTTGGTGTTGGAGGGCGACTGTCTCCAACTGTCCAGTAGCAGCGTCCTTCACGAACCTCCTCCACAGAGGCCGATCTTGACACCGCTGGTACCGGTCATCAGTAAGCCCACTCAGCTCCACATCCTCCTGTTCCGCATCAGCTCCATCTCTTCTCTAGCTTGTGTGACGCCCGATAACCCCTCTCTATTCGGCCAAACAGAAGTTGCTTGGGCATGGAGGCTACATGGCCCATACAAAGATACATCACCAGGATAGATAATTTAGGCTGTTCGGGCAAGTTGTGTTAGTGAACACCGATTAAGGCCGACCCGGCACATGACCAAGACCACGCCTGGCCGCCGCCTTCGTCTCCCCAGTGCTGATATTTACACCGAGGACCAGGTATTGTTATGAGGTTTAGTCGACCTAGGGGAGGCCCAGGACTGGCTCATATACTGCCCACTGATGTTGGCCGTGGCTGGAAAGCGAACTCGGAAAACCGGATTCGTCGGGCAGTGCGCTGGCTACTGCGCCACCACTCCCACGAAGGTCATTCATAATTCATATCATTTGGATCCCACCAGATACATTCATTTTTACATTAACAGCAAACCGCACGGGGGATTAAAATACTCGTAGATTTATGCCTATTCACAATGGTCTCTCACGTAGTTAAATAAAGGAGTTGAATCCATACTCATTTAAATCTCCCACCAGGGCCTCCTTCCGTCGCTGAGACCTGTCTCAGTGTTCATGATTGACTCCCCACGCATCACTGGCGAGCCTCGTATTGGCGGACGTCTGCACCTTCCGGAAGGTGCCACGAGTCGCTCTCTTGGAGTGCTCCTCTTGCCTTCCAGATCCATCGTCACCATTATAATCAGCCGTGATCGATCCACTGCTGGATGAAGGGCCTCCTCCCTAAGCCACTCCCGTCTCGGTGGCAAGATGTTATTTACCTCGCCTGGTATACAGGAGGTCGTGGGTTCGATACCGACCCTGACGCCTGCTTGCTGTATATTTGGAGTTTGCGTGTTCTCCCTGTGGTCGCGTGGATTTTTCGACGGGTCCTCCGGTTTTCCCCTCCACATTTAGACTCGACACCACGCGTTTAGAGTATTTGGCTGCTCTAAATTTCCACTTCGTTGAGCTATCATTTGTGGACAGCTCGCTTCTGAAAAAAAGAGCTATATAGCTCAGTGGACCTTACCTGGTAAAACATAGTGAAATAGTAGGATCCGTCACGATCTCGCGATGCAAACAATCCACCCAGCGCCTGCACTGCCTGCACTCGAGGCGATTTCATCGCTCCATCTCCTGTGGTGGAAGTGCCTTCGCCGTTTCGACTGCCAATCCGTTGTTAGTCTCGACCGTCGAACGTCCTTTCTCTTGCCCACAGGGCCCGCCTACTCTCCTCACAACCCCGCCCACCTCCAAAGTAACCCCGCCCACTGCTCAGGTAGCCCGGCCCATTTCTCGGGACGCCCTGCCCACAGCTCAGGTAGCCCGGCCCACAGTTCAGGTAAACCTGCCCACTTAGGCTAGCCCCGCCCACTGCTCAGGTAACCCCGCCCACAGCTCATGTAGACCACGCCCACTGCTCGTCTCGCCAGGTACTGAGGCCAGCTCCCTCCCAACGGAGGTCCTTTCCGCCTGGAGTAACGACGTTGCAGGGGCTGCGCCTGTACCCTTCGTTCACACTGAGACGAGGCCAGCGTCTGAGAAGGCAACGCGGTCACCTCCGGTCGTCAACCAATCAAAGGAGCTCCCTGACGTCACACTCAATTGACAACGTGAGACCGTTTGACTTTATTAGACCTTACATTATTTTATTTGCAATGACTTACATTTACCTTATCAGGCCATTTACACATCCGCACATCGCACCCGCGCACACAAAGACAGAGACGCTCCGCACCCCCCCCCCCCCCCCGTATAACGTACACTGACTGTTGGGGCAAGTGCTATGAACGAGTAGCAACTATGAAGGCCGGCATGCCTCAGAAGGGGGTGGGAGGCCAACACCAAGCCCGGCCGCCATTATCTCCCCAGTAGCAATGTTGACACATCGCACCAGGTGCTCATTTGTGGCCAAGTCGACCGAATCGTCACTGGCGTCGGTAGCAGCGAGCGGGAATCAAACTCTGGTTGCCGGGTTCGTAGCGCAGCGCGCTAACCGCTACACGACCGCGCCCCACGCAGACACAACACGCGCAATTCCAGAAAGCGAGGTGATCTGCTTCCGGTTCAGCCGCTGAGTGCCGATTGGCTCAGACCCGGGCGTCTATTGTGACGTCGCGAGGCCGTTGTGACGAACACGTGGCGATGGCTACTGCCCCCTGGGTCGTTGGTTCCACATTGAGACACGGGGTCACTCTCCTTACCTGTGGTCAGATGTAACCGCCCAAAACGAGCACACGCACAAGGCTACCTTACAACGGCGGGTGGTCGTAGCCAGGTACAATGAGGCCGTATTTGGGCGCCACGGTGGCGAGATGTTAACTCCCTCGCCTGGTACGCAGAAGGCCTTGATTTCAATCCCTACTCTGACGCCTGCTGTGTATTTGGAGTTTGCATGTCTCTCTCTCTCCCATTGGATTTTCCCTCCACATTTACAAAGACGCGTTTAGAGTATTTGGCTGCTGTAAATGTCCACGTGGTAAGCCACTTTGTTGAGCTGTCACGTGTGATAGCTGAGTCGCTTTTGAAAAAGGGCTACGTAGCTCAGTGGGGCCTTACCTGATAAAATAACCAAAAAAAGTTTAAATTATTGTTTTTAGTTAGGCAACGTGGTAGTAGTTGTGATACAATTGAATTGCTTATTTATCCCGAACAATTCGCCACTTCGTGGCGGTGACGTCACCACCGTGTTTGTGCCAGGCTAGGTGCACTTTGAGGCTACGTGCAGTGTTGAAGGCTCGCTGGCAGGAGGTCACAGGGCAGACCCCAGCAGGTGCCGTGGGTTGAGTTGACTGAGGTGACCGGCTGCGCTCCCCCTACCGCGCCAACTCGCTGCGCTTTATCCGCCCCGCGCTCCGCTCGTTGTTGTGAGCGTGGCTATTCTCCGCCCTCCGTTGTTGCTGGAGGGCGACTGCCTCCAAGTTCCCCCAGCAGCAGCAGCAGCGTCCTTCACGAACCTCCTCCTCCTCAGCAGAGGCCGCCGACCTTGCCACCGCCGGCACCGGCAATCCCACTCAGCACCGCATCCTCCTGCACCACCTCACCCCGCGCAACTCCCCCACTCTCACACGACCACGCGGCACACCGCGACTACGAACCCCCCCCCCCAACCCACACCGCGGCCGCTCAGAGGCGGTCGCCCTGCAGGTGGTGCGCGCCCTGGAACGCCGCCGCGTAGGCCGAGGCCTGGGGCCCCCCTCCGGCGGCGGGGGACGGCGCCGGCGGGGAGACCCCTCCGCCGGCCGCGATCATCGCGCCCGCCCCCTGGGGCACGTAGCCGTAGCCGGCCACGGCGTAGCCCGGCGACGCCACGTACGGGTAGGGCTCGTAGGCCGCGGCGGCGGCCACGGCGGCGTTGTACTGGGCCGCGTAGGCCGCGGCCGCGGCGGCCGAGGAGTAGTCGAGGTACGGGGAGGAGGAGGCCGCGGCGGCCGCCGCTGCGGCCGCGGCGGCCGCGGACTGCGAGGAGGAGGAGAGCGACGGGGAGCCGGCGGCGGCGGCCGCGGCGGCCGAGAGGCCCGGGGCGTGCGCCATCATGAGGCTGGGCTGCACGAAGGCCTGCGGGTAGACGTACTGGGCCTGCAGTCTGCGGGCGGCGGCGGTGGTGGGCAGGGGTGGTGCGGGGGATGGAGAGGGGAGAGTTGGGGTGAGAGAGGTGGGGTGAGAGTTGGGGTGAGAGAGGTGGGGTGAGAGGTGGGGTGAGAGTTGGGGTGAGAGAGGTGGGGTGAGAGTTGGGGTGAGAGAGGTGGGGTGAGAGTTGGTGTGAGAGATGTGGGGTGAGAGTTGGGGTGAGAGAGGTGGGGTGAGAGTTGGGGTGAGAGAGGTGGGGTGAGAGTTGGGGTGAGAGAGGTGGGGTGAGAGTTGGTGTGAGAGATGTGGGGTGAGAGTTGGGGTGAGAGAGGTGGGGTGAGAGTTGGGGTGAGAGAGGTGGGGTGAGAGTTGGGGTGAGAGGTGAGTAGGAGGGAGAGTTGGTGTTGAGGGGAGAGTTGGGGGAGTCGGGATGAGAGAGAGAGACAGAGAGCAGAAGAGGGGGTTATTGACAAGAGGGGGTTATTGACAAGAGGGGAGATCAGCAGGTGGACGAGACTTGAGAGAAGAGTGGCGTTGAGCGGGAGTCACGGGCGAGGGGTACAGGCAAGGATGGGATGGGGGGGAATCAGAGAGCCACACAGAGAGCGAGCGGGCGGATGAAGGAGACGGGGAGACGAATGGAGAAACGGGAGAAACAATGGGTGGGGGAGAGACAGAGCGGAGGCGCGGGACACAGCACAGAAGGGACACGCCGAGATTGAGAGGCGAGGCACCGCAGGAGGTAGAGAGAGAGAGAGGGGGGTAGGAAGGTGACAAGAGATGGACGGGGGGTGGGGAGGGAAGACTTGAAACAAAGTTGAGGAGAGAGAGAGAGGGGCGAGGTGGGGTGGGGAATGCGAGGGGGGAGCGATGGACAGAGAGCGAGGGACCGATATGGACGTCGAGGGTCAGAGAGGAGAAATCGGAGCATCAGCTGTTCCACTCACTCCACACCACACTGTACACTCACTCCACACCACACTGTTCCACTCACTCCACACCACACTGTTCCACTCACTCCACACCACACTGTACACTCACTCCACACTGTCCACTCACTCCACACCACACTGTACACTCACTCCACACCACACTGTCCACTCACTCCACACCACACTGTACACTCACTCCACACCACACTGTACACTCACTCCACACCACACTGTACACTCACTCCACACCACACTGTACACTCACTCCACACCACACTGTACACTCACTCCACACCACACTGTACACTCACTCCAGCTTGTCACGGTGTTATATACACAGCACTGACTACACACACGCACTGTACACTCACCACACTGTACACTCACCACGCTCACCACACTGTACACACCACACGTACAGTACACAGCACATACTACACACTTTCACTACCACACCCTCACTACAACCTCACTACACACTCACTACACCACACCTTCACTACCACACCCTCACTACCACACCCTCACTACACCCTCACTACTACACCCTCACTACCACACCTTCACTACCACACCCTCACTACCACACCCTCACTACACCCTCACTACTACACCCTCACTACCACACCTTCACTACCACACCCTCACTACCACACCCTCACTACACCCTCACTACTACACCCTCACTACCACACCCTCACTACCACACCTTCACTACCACACCCTCACTACCACACCCTCACTACACCCTCACTACTACACCCTCACTACCACACCTTCACTACCACACCCTCACTACCACACCCTCACTACACCCTCACTACTACACCCTCACTACCACACCTTCACTACCACACCCTCACTACTACACCCTCACTACCACACCTTCACTACCACACCCTCACTACACCCTCACTACCACACTCTCACTAGCACACCCTCACTACACCACCCTCACTACTACACCCTCACTACCACACCCTCACTACCACACCCTCACTACCACACCCTCACTACCACACCCTCACTACCACACCCTCACTACCACACCCTCACTACAACCTCACTACACACTCACTACACCACACCTTCACTACCACACCCTCACTACCACACCCTCACTACACCCTCACTACTACACCCTCACTACCACACCTTCACTACCACACCATCACTACCACACCCTCACTACACCCTCACTACCACACCTTCACTACCAAACCCTCACTACCAAACCCTCACTACTACACCCTCACTACACCACCCTCACTACCACACCCTCACTACCACACCCTCACTACCACACCCTCACTACTACACCCTCACTACACCCTCACTACACCACCCTCACTACCACACCTTCACTACCAAACCCTCACTACCACACCCTCACTACCACACCCTCACTACACCCTCACTACACCACCCTCACTACCACACCCTCACTACCACACCCTCACTACCACACCCTCACTACTACACCCTCACTACCACACCCTCACTACACCACCTTCACTACCACACCTTCACTACCACACCCTCACTACCACACACTCACTACACCCTCACTACTACACCCTCACTACCACACCTTCACTACCACACCCTCACTACTACACCCTCACTACCACACCCTCACTACCACACCTTCACTACCACACCCTCACTACTACACCCTCACTACCACACCCTCACTACCGCACCCTCACTACTACACCCTCACTACCACACCCTCACTACCACACCTTCACTACTACACCTTCACTACCACACCCTCACTACCACACCCTCACTACACCCTCACTACTACACCCTCACTACCACACCCTCACTACCACACCCTCACTACCACACACTCACTACCACACACTCACTACTACACCCTCACCACACACTCACTACCACAGCCTCACTACTACACCCTCACCACTCACTACCACACCCTCACTACCACACCATCACTATTACATCCTCACTACCACACCCTCACCACACCCTCACTACTACACCCTCACTACCACACCCTCACTACTACACCCTCACTACTACACCCTCACTACCACACCCTCACTATCACACCCTCACCACACCCTCACTACTACACCCTCACTACCACACCCTCACTACCACACCCTCACTACACCCTCACTACTACACCCTCACTACCACACCCTCACCACACCCTCACTACCACACCTTCACCACACCGTCACTACACCCTCACTACCACACCCTCATTACCACACCTTCACTACTACACCCTCACCACACCCTCACTACCACACCCTCACTACCACACCCTCACTACTACACCCTCACTACCACACCCTCACTACCACACCCTCACTACCACACCCTCACTACTACACCCTCACTACCACACCCTCACTACCACACCATCACTACCACACCCTCACTACACCACAACCTCACTACCACACCCTCACTACCACACCCTCACTACCGCACCCTCACTACCGCACCCTCACTACTACACCCTCACTACACCACCCTGACTACCACACCCTCACTACACCACCCTCACTACCACACCCTCACTACACCACATCCTCACCACACCCTCACTACCACACCATCACTACACCACCCTCACTACACCCTCACTACCACACCCTCACTACTACACCCTCACTACCACACCCTCACTACACCCTCACTACCACACACTCACTACACCCTCACTACTACACCCTCACTACCACACCATCACTACACCACCCTCATTACCACACCCTCACTACTACACCCTCACTACTACACCCTCACTACCACACCCTCACTACCACACCCTCACTACACCCTCACTACCACACCCTCACTACACCCTCACTACCACACCCTCACTACCACACCCTCACTACACCCTCACTACCACACCCTCACTACCACACCATCACTACACCACCCTCACTACCACACCCTCACTACACCCTCACTACTACACCCTCACTACCGCACCTTCACTACCACACCCTCACCACACCCTCACTACCACACCCTCACTACCACACCTTCACTACACCATACGCAGGTTGTACCGCGTGGAGCTGAAGAAGGACGCAGAGCGAAACGTCGGACATTGTGCGTCAATCACTTCTCACGCAGTGTACACAACAAAGACAAATACAGTACTGCACAAAGAACCCCCGTATAGCCTTAACAGACTGTTGGGGCAAGTGCTGTTAGCGAGTAGCACCTATGAAGGCCGGCACGGCACACGAGGGGGTGGGTGGCCAGCACCACGCCCGACCGCCTTTGTCTCCCCAGTGGCAATACGCACCGCACCTAGGAAGGCATTTCAAGCCGGGTCGACGTAAGGGAGGCCCAGGACCGGTTCACATTCACCGCTGTTATTGGTCTTGAGTGTGAATCGAACTCGGGTTCTTCGTTTATGTAGTGCAAAGCGCGAACCGCTACACCACCACTCACCATCAACAAGGATGACACACACATCACGTCTCACGCAGTGTACACAACACAAGGATCACACACACCACGTCTCACGCAGTGTACACAACACAAGACACACACCACATCTCACGCAGTGTACACAACACAAGGATCACACACACCATGTCTCACGCAGTGTACACAACACAAGACACACACCACGTCTCACGCAGTGTACACAACACAAGGATCACACACACCACGTCTCACGCAGTGTACACAAGACACACACACCACGTCTCACGCAGTGTACACAACACAAGACACACATACTACGTCTCACGCAGTGTACACAACACAAGACACATCACGTCTCACGCAGTGTACACAACACAAGACACACCACGTCTCACGCAGTGTACACAACACAAGACACACCACGTCTCACGCAGTGTACACAACAAGGATCACACACACCACGTCTCACGCAGTGTACACAACACAAGACACACATACACCACGTCTCACGCAGTGTACACAACACAAGGATCACGCACAGATCACCCGATACACGACTCACACCGAATACTCATCCAACACAAAATACCTCCACACTGCACAACACCGCCACAGCATCCAACACGCAGCGAAAACTAAAAACCCAGGGCACCACAAACCCAAGGCACCACGAACCAAAGCACCACAAACTCAAGGCACCACAAGATCAATACACCACAAATCCAGGGCACTGCATACCAAGGCACCCCAAGACACCCCAAACTCAAGGCACTACAAGATCAAGACACCACAAACTCAAGGCACCACAAGATCAAGGCACCACAAACCCAAGGCACCACGAACCAAAGCACCACAAACTCAAGGCACCACAAAATCAAGACACCACAAACCCAGGGCACTGCATACCAAGGCACCCCAAGACACCCCAAACTCAAGGCACTACAAGATCAAGACACCACAAACTCAAGGCACCACAAGATCAAGACACCACAAACTCAAGGCACCACAAGATCAAGACACCACAAACCCAGGGCACTGCATACCAAGGCACCCCAAGACACCCCAAACTCAAGGCACCACAAGATCAAGACACCACAAACCCAGGGCACTGCATACAAAGGTACCAAAAACTCAAGGCACTAGAAACCCAGGAACTGCATACCACGGCATCAAACTGAAGGCACCACAAACTCAAGGCACCACAAATTAAAGGCACTACCAATCGAGGCACTACAAGTCCAGGCATCACAAGATCAAGGAAATACAAATGTACAGTCAATACAAAGCCAGGCACTGCAAAACTTCGTAAAAGCCTTTTTCTGTGTCCGGCCTCGTGCTTGATTTTCTAAGCTGCTCATCGTGTGTTCCATAGTTCATAGTTCCATTTATTTGGTATAGCCCTGTGAGCCATTCGGCTCTTGAATCGGGTGCAACCGCAACAAACAAAAAACAAAAACATGAACAAGAAAACATCTTAAAGTGGGTCCCACTCTGGTCCACGAGCACACATCTCTGACCTCCACAGCTAGGGCGCCAACGTGACCCCAACACCTCGGGAGCCAACGTGACCTCTACTCCTGGGGCCATCGTGACCTTTGCACCTAGGGCGTCAACGTGACCACACCTAGGGGGGAAACGTAACTCCGACACCTAGAGGGCCAACGTGACCTCCACACCTAGGGCGGCAATGTGACCACCCCTGGGGCCAACGTGACCTCCACACGTATGGAGCCAACGTGACCTCACTTAGGGGGCCAACGTAACCTCCACACTTCGGGGGACCAACGTGATCTCCACACCCAGGGGGCCAACGTGACCTCCATACCTCGAGGGCCAACGTGATCTCCACACCCAGGGGGCCAACGTGACCTCCATACCTCGGGGGCCAACGTGACCTTCACATCTGGGGCGCCAAAGTGACCTCCACACCATGGGCCGTGACCCCAGCCCATCGTGTGGATGTGGTCAGTGACAGATCACGTCGCCACACATTCTCGACGAGTGCCTACTGATTGCATTCGACGGTGGACTCGGGTGGACCACACCGTTGATGAAGTGGCTGTTGCCTGGCTCGGTAAGATGAATAGACAATATTTAAAAGTAGTTGGGTGGGGTAAAAGGCCTGCACAAGGTCGACTGAGGCTGGATAACTGGGAGCTACATCTGCGCTGGAGCTCCGAGTTCCTATCTAATTTGGTTCGATGGATGAACTCCAACGTAAAGCTGCTTGGCTAATTGATGCCCCTATGCTCACACTCAATGTGACACCACGGTCAAGACACAACAAACCCAGGCAATACAAACAGGCCAAACAAACCCAGACAAAACAAACCCGGGTCAATAGAAAACCCAGGCCTAACACGCGAAAAACAAACCTGGGCCTAAAAAACCCAGGTTTAAATCTGGACAAGAAACCAGGCCTAACAAACTGGACCTAATAAACCCAAGGCCAAACAAACCTAGACAAAACAAACCAGGCTACAAACCCAGACATAACACCCCCAGACTGAGACAAGACAAACCGAGGCGAGACAAACCCAGGCCTAACCCAGACCAAACAAAACACAGGCCTAGCAAATCCAGAATAAACAAACCCAGTCGGAATCCAGACAAAACAAGCCCAGAATTAACAATCCCAGACCAAACAAACCAGATCAAACATGCCCAGACAAAACACAACCAGACAAAATAGACCTTGACAAAACACACCCAGATCAAACAAGCCCAGAATGAACAAAACCAGGCAAAATAAACCCAGACAAAACACATCTAGACAAAACACACCCACACAAAAACTCAGGCTTAACAAACCCACACACAGCAAACCCAAGCCAAAGAAACCCAGGCCTAACAAACCCAGACACTGCAATCGGTCACTGCAAATGCACGCACTAAAAACCTGGACAGAAAAAAACAATCCAGTCACCACAAACCCAGGCACTGCAAACCTAGCCTTCTACAAACCATACAGAGACCCAGTCACTACAAACTTGAGCGGCACGAATGAAGGCACTGCAAATCCAGACACAAAAAAATCCAGATACTGCAGACAGCACAAATCCATTACCACAAAGCCAGGGTATTGCAGTCAGTCACCACAAACCCAGGAAACGCGAATCCCAGACACTGCAAGGCCAGACACCACAAACTTAGCCCTTACGAATTCCAGACACGGCAAAGGAAGACACCACAAACGCAAGCGCCACCAAAAAACTCAAGACATCGGAAATCCCAGCACTGCAAATCGAGGCACCACAAACCCAGACACTGCAATCACCACAAACCCAGGCACTAAAATAAACCCAGACACAACAAACCCGTCACCACAATCCCAAGCATCGCAGTGGGTCACCACAAACCCAAACGCCACCACAAAGTCAGGGTTTGATCCCAGCTTTTGCCAAGAGCAAAGCTAGAAAAACAAGCCGAGCCGCTGACATTGTCACCGTTTTAGAGACGCCGTCGTCATCGCGCTAGAGAGATGCATCGAGAGGGAGCTGGGGACGTTGGCGATGCGCCGTCGTGACCTGGGGTGATCACGTTGCGGCACCCTGTCGTATTTACTGTGGTGGAGTCGTGGCGAGTCTGTGCGAACAAACGGGCCATCACGGTGGTGGTTCTTCGACATCGCATTGAGGGCCCCACGTGCGCACGGTGGCTGGCAGGTGAGAAAGTGGGGCGCGCTGCTACCTCAAGTACAAGTTGTTGGGTTTGTTGGGGCCCTCGGAGCAGAAGCAAGAATACAACGCATGTTTGTATGCACGTTGGACTTCTTTCGCAGCGTGCGTAGCCAACCGCATGAGTTCTGCCGAACTCTGATGATTCGATTGTAAACAACCCCTGTGTTCTCGCGCTGAGGATCACGGCCAAAGGCATGGGACGCAGTGGCCACGGGGTGCAACATTTGTGAATTTCGGTGGGTGCAGGTTCAGCGCTGACGATGACCGCAGTCTCCTTGCTCGGGTGGAATGTCTCTCCGGTTAAACGGGGATGCCCCACTGCCCCCCCCCCACCGTCATCATCAGCAGCGGTGCGGCTGTTGGTCCACATGAGGGGCTCCGAAGGAGAAATTTACTTTTGGAGGTCACCGCGCCCCCACACCCCCTTTCAAGCTATGAAGATGACGGAAGGGGTAGAGAGCAGTGTTGCTCGCTAATTATAATCAGAGAGGTGGGGGGGGGGGAGGGGGGCACTTTCGCCGATAAGACATCATTGTGAATGCAGCCAAACATTGGAAACCCTCGGGTGTTCACATTTGTTGTGTACTGTCGGGGGTTGCGGCACGTCAGGGGGCCGCGCTAAAGGCCACCAGGGGCCCGAGGGGGCCTTGCTCCGAAGAACATCGACAATCGGCGATAAGACGGCACAGGAAAGTAATCGACCAGGCTATGCGTTAACTGTGTGCTAACCGACTCTCTGTGTTGCATTGCATCGCACTTCCTAATTTTACTAAGTTTGATTCCTACCGTGCTTGTTCCGTGCTTTTTTTTATGGGTCCATTCTCTCCTCCGGCCGCTATGGGCAGGAATTCCTCACAACTCCCCCTCTGCCCCACCGCCCCTCTCTCTCTCTATTTAAGGCCTCGACACAGAGACGTTGTCTTTCTGTGTGCCTATGTTTGTGTCTCTCTCTGTCTCTGTGTGAGTCTCTCTCTGCTTGGGTGTCTGTCTGTGTGTCTATGTTTAATCTCTCTCTCTCTCTCAAATTTAGCAATCTTTGGAGGAACGTAATGAACCAGGTGGGGTGTTGAGTGTTTGTGTTGGCCGACTCTCTGTGTTGTATTTCAATTATATTTGCAAGTTTACTAGCTTTGTTTTCTCATTCATTTGTACCTGATGATGGTTGCTTGTGTTGCAATCGAAACGTGTTCTATTACTATTCAATTTAATTTCTTCCTACGTGACTTTACCGAAAGAACCAAAAAATTATTCCTGCAGTCACGAAAGCTTCGAATCTCGTTAGGTGACATAGAGACGAGACGGACAGCTGAGCCGGATTTGAATGTTCGCCATCTTGTTACGATGTTGATATTCCGCGAACACTCCATCTCGTCATGAATGCGTGGCCCCCTTGCCTCGTTCTCTCACGCCGAGCGCCGGCCCAGCCACCGGCGACCCCTGAGCTTGGCTGCCAAGGCCGTTGGCGTTCACTGGCAGAAAAAGGGGGGTCCCACAGACACAACTGCTCGCTCGACCCGAGCTATTAATGCTTTTGACATTTGCATCGTCCGTGTTTCCGCGCGCCTATTTGGCGCTCATTGGTCTAACGCTGGTGGCGAGACAGGGCCATGAGGGAGGACTGTCTCTGCGATTAGCCCCCCCCACCCCCCCCCCCCATCAGTTGCAAGGACAATGCATAACGTTATCAAAGCACGTTTTTGTTTGCGTGTTTCACCACAAGCATGATGCGTGGTTAATGCAGACTTGATGCCTTGCGATGGGTGTCCATTTAACGTTTTAACATCGTAACACCCCCTGTATTTCTGCCGGAAAGGGTGAAGCCAATTCTTCCCCCCCCCTCCCCCAATCATATCCACAGCTACCTTGCTGTGTGTATATCCAGCCACCATGTGCGCCGTGTATAGGACGACCAATTGGTTCACTTCATACGTGGTAGGGATTTCGTAAGCAATACATCAATTTGTTTTGGGGGTCAGTTTAATAACCCAATCTGTAATGGATATCAATTTGTAATGTATACACATGCATTAACCCCCCCCTCCACCCTCTGGCCTTCGTACTTGATTGGCCCACGTGTGACGACATCACATCTATCCTCTCTATTTCAGGAACGAAACGGGAGGAGGATTTCTCCACAAATCTGGCTGTCGCCTGATGATGCCGGTTGTAGTTACTGGCGAAACGTCGTACTCGAATTGTAAATGTTCTGGCTTTGCTCACCAACAATAGTAACGAATTGGCATGTTCTGTTTAAGTGACAAACCTTAATGATTGGCTGTGTCGGGTGGTGGCGGGTTTAACGACACAACATTTATGAATTTTGATTTAAAGCTTTCGTGACTGCATGGATTCATATTCTTGGTTCTTTCGGTAAAGTCACGTTTTATATTTTTATTATTTCATTGTTTCCCTTCTACGTGACTTTACCGAAAGAACCAAGAATAAGGCACATTTATATTTACGCGATCTAATTTTAAAAAAAAAAATCTATTCTGGATGTTTTTTTTTGGTTTAGGTCAACCCCAAACATATCTCGATCGCAAACCATAGCTCTTAATAACGTGTTGGTCTCGATCTATGTTGTATTCCATTATTTCTTCCCCCCTGATGTTGTCTTCCCCTCTCTCTTCCCATTCTGCCCATTTCTCGCCCCGATTACCCTTGTGTGCATTGCGTTTGCAAGTCGCGCTGAGACGTTGTGGAAATTTGCGGGAGATCGATACAGTCCCCCTTATACCATGGAACACCGCGATTTTAACCCACGAGGACATTGTGAACGTGCCTCAAAGCCTCAAAATTATCCACGAAGTAACCCCCCCCCCGCCCCGCCTCGCAGGAGTAAATGCAACGACGAGGGGAATTGTTTGTTCCACCGCGATGACCCTCTCACAGGCGTTAAAGGGTCCACGTGAGTGACAATGGCTTCCCACAGCACGGCACAGCACACCCAATCATGCCACGCCACGTCACGGCACGTCACACCACGTCAAACCACCTTCTTACCCACGTGCGCGCGGTGTGGTTCAGCCACGTGCTCGCTCAAGGTCAGTCTAGAGCCTTACACAGGTGTGTGTACTTGTGTGTGCGTGTGCATAAATATGTATGTGCGGGCTTGTGTGTGTGTGTGTGTGCGGGTTTGGGTGTATGTACTTGTGTGTAATGCACTGTACGATGTGAGTAGGATGCTGTTTGACTGCACTTGCCCCAATAGATTATATATGGGGGATCTGTGTCTTGTTGATGTAAGTATGTGTGTGTGAGTTAACGTGTAGGTCGACTCAGCCTCAAATGAGAACCTGGTGCGACGTGTGAACACCGCCACTTGGGAGACAAGGGCGGCCAGGCGTGGTGCTGGCCACCGACCCCCATTAACAGTACTTGCCCCGACAGTATCTTAAGGGGTCGTCCATAAATGATGTCACGCGATTTTGGACGATTTTTGACCCCCCCCCCGCCCTTGTCACACGGCGTCACAAAAAGTCAGACCCCCCCCCCTCAAATATGACGTCACAAAGCTCTGCTCCCCCCCCCCCCCCAAATAAAACATGCTTCAAATCGCTTTAAACTATTGTAGTGCGTATCTAATGTGGCGCTGGACTCTGATGTTGTAGGGCAGGGGTCGGGAACCTATGGCTCGCGAGCCAGATGTGGCTCTTTTGATGATTGCATATGGCTCGCAGATAAAACAAAATATTCTCACTTGTTTTAATCCATCCATCGATTTTTCACTGCGCATGTCCTGTTCAGGGCTGCAGGAGCAATTGTCCATTATTTTAATTGGATGATACTGGCCTACGTTTGCCGTTGCTGGGTAAAACAGGTAAACGCCCCCTTTTGAATCAGTCTGAGACTGCGTCTGCTCGGTCATTAGCTCAAAGCTAACCCTTCGACGAAGAAGATGGCGAAAAGAAAAAAAGACGACGAGTATCGTACATTTCAGGACGAATGGACCGAAGAATTCGCCTTTGTGGAGAGAGCGGGTTCTGCGGTGTGTCTAATTTGCAATGACAAAATTACATCGTTGAAACGGTCGAATGTAAAGCGGCACTTCGACACGCGCCACGCTACCTTTGCATCAAAATACCCTGCGGGAGACAGCAGAAAGAAAGCGTGCCAAGAGCTTCTGAGCAGGGTGCAAGCTAGCCAGCAGCAACTCCGCGTATGGACCCGGCAAGGTGACTATAATTCGGCTAGCTTTGCTGGTTCTTTAGCAATAGTGAGGAACGGAAAACCATTCACAGATGGCGAGTATGCTAAAACGTTCATGCTGGATGTAGCCAATGAACTTTTTGATGATCTTCCGAACAAAGACAAGATAATCAAACGGATACAAGACATGCCTCTGTCGGCAAGAACTGTTCATGATCGTACCATCGTGATGGCAAACAAAGTGGAGGAAACGCAAATGAAGGACATAAATGCAGCGCCGTTCTTTTCTCTGGCTTTGGATGAGTCAACAGACGTGAGCCATTTGTCGCAGTTCAGCGTGATTGCAAGATATGCTGTTGGTGACACACTGCGCGAAGAAAGTCTTGCTGTTCTGCCATTAAAAGGGTCCACAAGAGGTGAGGATTTATTAAAGTCTTTCATGGAATTTGCTCAAGAAAAAAGTCTACCTATGGATAAACTTCTCTCAGTGTGTACTGATGGTGCTCCGTGTATGGTGGGGAAAAACAAAGGATTTGTGGCGCTTCTCCGTGAACATGAAAATAGACCCATCCTAAGTTTCCATTGCATTATACACCAGGAGGCACTTTGTGCTCAGATGTGTGACAGGCAGTTTGGCGAAGTGATGTCGCTGGTCATTCGTGTGATCAACTTTATTGTTGCCCGAGCCTTAAATGATCGCCAGTTTAAAACACTGCTGGATGAAGTTGTAAATAACTATCCTGGTCTGCTTTTGCACAGCAATGTGCGTTGGTTGTCAAGAGGGAAGGTGCTTAGCCGTTTTGCGGCTTGCCTGAACGAAATCCGGACTTTCCTTGAAATGAAAGGCGTCGGGCATCCTGAGCTAGCCGACACCGAGTGGCTCCTCAAGTTTTACTATCTCGTAGATCTGACTGAACATCTGAACCAGCTCAACGTGAAAATGCAAGGCATTGGAAATACAGTGTTATCCCTTCAACAAGCTGTATTTGCTTTTGAAAACAAGCTGGAGCTTTTCATCACGGATCTTGAAACAGGTCGTTTACTACATTTTGAAAAACTGAGCCAATTTAAAGATGTATGCACAGCAAGTGAGCCCATTCAAAACCTTGATCTCCACCAGCTAGCTGGCTGCACATCCAGTCTCCTACAGTCCTTCAAAGCACGCTTTGGAGAATTTCGTGAGCACACTCGTCTTTTTAAGTTCATCACCCATCCAAACGAGTGTTCACTGAACACAGCCGACCTGAATTACATCCCTGGTGTCTCTGTCAGAGATTTTGAAGCAGAAGTGGCTGACCTGAAGGCCTCAGACATGTGGGTGAATAAGTTCAAGTCACTGAATGAAGATTTGGAAAGAATCACACGACAGAAAGCGGAGTTGGCGAGCAAGCACATGTGGACAGAAATGAAAAAACTCCAACCCGAAGACCAGCTGATTCTCAAAACTTGGAACGCGCTTCCTGTCACATACCACACACTGCAGCGTGTGAGTATTGCTGTATTGACCATGTTTGGATCTACGTATGCATGTGAGCAGTCATTCTCACATCTTAAAAACATCAAGTCCAACCTACGATCACGTTTAACGGATGAAAGCCTCAACGCTTGCATGAAGCTTAACCTCACCAAGTACCAACCCGACTACAAAGACATCAGCAAATCCATGCAGCACCAGAAGTCGCATTAATGGTGAGTGTTATAACAACATTATTTAAAAGAATACATTCAGAGGCTTATTATACTGACATTTAGTTGAATTCACTTTTAAAATATATTATATGGCTCTCACTGAAATAAATTTCCAATTTTTTTGCTTTCATGGCTCTCTTAGTCAAAAAGGTTCCCGACCCCTGTTGTAGGGGAAAACATTTATTAAAACGTCTATTTAATTAAGTAGAACGTGTTGCCTATATTTATTATTATTTAAAGTTGCGCATTTTTATGTGACGTCACATTTCTCAAACCCCCCCCTCCCCTTCGTCACAAATGTCTGACCCCTCCCCCCCTCCCTAGGTGCGTGACGTCATTTATGGACGGCCTCCAAAGGCTTTGTTGTGTACTCTGGTATATGTATATGTATGTATCTAAACATACATATACGGGTACATACATATATACCTCCGATTATATGTATGACCATACAGGTATAACATACACATTACGTGAATGTGTTTGTTGGTGTGTTGGACATGTGTGTACTTGCGTGTTCTCACGTCTGTAATGTGTGTGTGTGTGAGTGAATGTACGTGTGTGTGTGTACACGTGTGTACCAGGGCTGAGCAACTGCTGTCCACAGCTGTCGTCATCACCTGTTAAGTGAGAGCATCAGCTGTGAGCCCCATGTGGAAGAGGCTCGCTGGATCCACACGCAAACACAAAGAACCCCCGTATAGCCCCAACAGACTGCAGGGGCAAGTGCTGTCAGCGAGTAGCAACCTATGAGTGGGTGGCGAACACCGCCGCAAGGTCGCCCTTTTGTGTCCCTGGCGCTGGATTGTTTCCCCGCCGTACCAGGTACTCGTTTAAGGCTGAGTCGACCTAGAGGATGCCCACGACCAGTTCAAATGTTCACCACCGATGTTGGTGGTCGTGAGCGGGAATCGAACTCGGGTCGCCGGATCTCCGTCGCCCTGTCCACACGAGCATGCACTTACACACACGGCTTTCTCATACACAAAGATAAAGACAAAGATCCCCCATATAGCCTTAACAGACTGTAGGGGCAAGTGCTTTTGGCGAGCACCTATGAAGGCCGGAACGGTACACGAGGGGGTGGGTGGCCAGCACCACGCCCGACCGCCTTTGTCTCCCCAGTGGCGATGTTTACACACCGCACCAGGTGACTCATTTGAGGCTGAGTCGACCTAGGGGAGGCCCGGGACCGGTTCAGATAATCGTCGCTGGTGTTGACCGTGAGCGGGAATCGAACCCGTGTCGCCAGGTTCATAGCGCAGCGTAGCGCTAACCGCTACACTACCGCTCCCCATACACACAGACACACACGTTCACACGCGTATGTGATGCCTTAGGGGCCGTGCATAAATGACGTCACGCGATTTTTGACAAATTTTGACCCCGCCCCCCCCCCCCTTGTCACACGGCGTCACATAAAGTCAGACGCCCCCCCCCCCACCTCAAATATGACGTCACACAGCTAAAAAAAGATATGCTTCAAATAATAAACACGCTTCAAATCGCTTTAAACTATTGTCATTTGTAGTGCGTATTTAATGTGGCGCTGCACGCTCTGATGTTGTAGGAGAAAACATTTATTAAAAAAAGTATATTTCATTAAGCAGAACGTGTTGTCTATATTTATTTAAAGTTGCGCATTTTGATGTGACGTCACATTTCTCAAACCCACCCCCCCCTCTCGTCACACATCGTCACAAATGTCTGACCCCCCCCCCACTAGATGCGTGACGTCATTTATGGACGGCCCCTTCCACACGCGTGTTAATAGCATAACAAAGACAAATGCCCCCCCCCCCCCATATAGCCTTCTTTATCCAGGCCGCTGGGGCAAGTAAGTCCTCTACGAAGGGTGGGTGGCCAACGCCACGCCCGGCCGCCTTTGTCTCCCCAATGCCGATGTTTTAGACACACCGCACCAGGTACTCAACTCATTTGCGGGACGCCGGGAGTCCCAGGACCGGTTCAGATAATACAATCGTCAGCGTGTGATGTGAGCGTCACATGTGCAAAGACAAAGATCCACCGTATAGCCTCAGCATACTCGCGGGACAAGTGCTGTTAGCGAGCAGCACCTATGAAGGCCAGTACGGCGCACGAGGGGTGGGTGGCCAGCACCACGCCCGGCCGCCTTTGTCTCCCCAGTGGCGATGTTTACTGCACACCGCACCAGGTGCTCATTTGAGGCTGAGTCGACCTAGAGGGAGGCCCAGGACCGGTTCAGATAATCGTCACCGGTGTTGGCCGTGAGCGGGAATCGAACTCGGGGAGGGCCGGGTTCATAGCGCAGCGTAGCGCTAACGGCTGCACCACCGCTCCCCACAAAGACAAAGATCACCCGAATAGCCTTCATAGACTCTTGCGGGCCGGCTAGACGGATGGTGGAGGTTGGGGATCTTTGTCTTTGTGCGAGCTTCTCAATGCGTGAAGTCACTCACCCGTAGGGCCGCTGAACAAACGTAGGGAACTGTTGAACACCAAATCCATAGCCTGCACACACACATACACACGTGTACGCACACACACGTGTACACACACACACGTGTACACACACACACACGTGTACGCACACACACACACGTGTACACACGCGCACACACGTGTACACACACACACGTGTACACACGCGCACACACGTGTCACACGCACACACACATACACGTGTACCCACACACACACACACACGTGTACCCACACACACACGTGTACACACACACACACGTGTACACACACACACAAGACACAAAACTGGTTATGCACAGTGATGCTGGTGGTGCATTGTGGATATTAAAACAATAACAAGAAGTTCCGGGGTTTGCAACTCTCGAAACCAAATGCGACGCTCATCCATCCATCAGCCGAGCGGCCCTCTGAAGCAACGCATCTGAGCATCGGAGAGAGGCCTGGCGCTGCCCAGGTCGCGGGGTTGGCGGGGCCAAGCGAGAGAGCTCAAGAGGGGAGCAAGAGGAGTCTCGTTTCCATAGCTGTCAACCCCGTATCAGTGCCCAAGCTTATTGTGGACCAGTTCAGACCTTATTGGTCACCCCGTGCCCCGCTTATAAATCCTACAAATATCCACACCTGCCCTGCCTCCCATACTTCCACGTGACCCTCCCCCTGCCCCACCACCATCACCCACGTGCTGGCCTTCCCCACAATCTTCCCGGCCACAATCAGAATATGCATTTATACCGGGTGAATCCGATGAGCTATAAAGCTCTCCCCCCCCCCGCCCCCCCCCCCATACAGATGTCCACACGCGTGCTGCCCTCCCCCACGTGCCCTGCCCTGCCCTGCCCTGCCCTGCCCTGCCCTGCCCTGCCCTGCCCTGCCCTGCCCTGCCCTGCCCTGCCCTGCCCTGCCCTGCCCGTGCCTGGCTGCATGACGCGCGGCTTGGCCCCGATGTAGGCGAGGTTGACGTTCGCCTTCCTGCCGTCGATGATCGGGTTGGGGTCCTTGCAGGCGCGCTCGGCCGCGCCGCGCTCACACATGGTGACCTGCGGCGGCGCACAGGTGAGTACGCACGCACAGGTGAGTACGCACGCACAGGTGAGTACGCACGCACAGGTGAGTACGCACGCACAGGTGAGTACGCACGCACAGGTGAGTACGCACGCACAGGTGAGTACGCACGCGCAGGTGAGTACGCACGCACAGGTGAGTACGCACGCGCAGGTGAGTACGCACGCACAGGTGAGTACGCACGCGCAGGTGAGTACGCACGCACAGGTGAGTACGCACGCGCAGGTGAGTACGCACGCACAGGTGAGTACGCACGCACAGGTGAGTACGCACGCACAGGTGAGTACACACGCACAGGTGAGTACGCACGCGCTCACACGTGTGCACACGCGTGCACAGGTGAGCACACGCGTACAGGTGAGCACACCACGCGTGCGCACAGGTGAGTACACACGCGCTCAAAGATAAGCGCACCACATGTGCGTACATGTGAGCGCACACGTGCACACAGGCGAGTATACACGCACAGGTGTGTACACACGCACAGGTGTGTACACACGCACAGGTGTGTACACACGCACAGGTGTGTACACACGCACAGGTGTGTACACACGCACAGGTGCACAGGTGAGGTGAGTAGACGCACGCACGCACGCATGTGAGTACACACACACAGGTTAGTACACATACAGGTGAGTACACAACAAACGCACGCAGGTGTGTACACGCACAAGTTCATACACATACAGACGCGTACACGCGCGCGCAGGTGTGTACACATATGGGAGTACACTCACGTACAGGTGAGTATATGCACGCAGATGGAGACACGCGGGGTGAATACACGTACAGACGCATGTGAATACACGAGTTGTGTGTACACGCGTGCGTGATGTGTGCATACATCGGACGAGGCGAGTAGACGCAGCCACCAATAATGAGCAGCAGTGGCCACGAATCGAACTTAGGCCGTCGGGTTCACACAGCGCAGTGCGCTAACCGCGGCGCCACCGCTCCACGCTACACCACGTGTACACGGTCCCTCTGGTGAGGCCTGGGCGGGATGCGACTTCGCCACGGTCGAGAGTCCAGTGGACGCGACTTCGACCGGCACCAGGCCAGCGATGGCAATTCCACATTCCCACGCCGGGGACCAGTTCGCTCGCCGATGATGGGACTGTGCCCAGATCTTGTCGATGACACGGGGACATCCTGGGCGTTACGCGTGCATTTGATTAAACGATAACGTCGCTCGACTGATTTTGAGCGAGACCTCTGCTGCAATAAACTAAAAAACAAGATATATATTTGTTTAGCCTGATAAAGACCATTGGAGCTATTTTTCAGAAGTGACCTGGCTGTCGAAAATGATAGCCCAACGGAAGTGGCTTATCACGTGGAAATTCATAGCAGCCCCAATACCCTAAACGCGCGATGTTGATTCTAAATGTGGAGGGATAAACCGGAGGACCCGGAGAAAAATCCACGCGACCACGGTCAGAGAGAGAGAGAGAGACACGCAGACTCCAAATATACAGCAGCAGGCGTCAGGGTCGGGATCGAACGTACGAACTCCTGTATACCAGGCGAGGTAGTTAACATCTAGCCACCGTGATGATTATGAGAGAGAGACACGCAAACTCCAAATATACAGCAGCAGGTGTCAGGGTTGGGATCGAACGTACGACCTCCTGTATACCAGGCGAGGTAGTTAACATCTAGCCACCGTGATGATTATGAGAGAGAGAGACACGCAAACTCCAAATATACAGCAGCAGGCCTTGCCAGGGTCGGGATCGAACCCACGACCTCCTGTATACCAGGCGAGGGAGATAACATCTCCTAGCCACCGTGTACTCTCTCCACAACCACGAGTGCTCGGTGAAGTAAAGCACACTGGGCGAAGGTGCTTTCGCTTCGGTGGGGGCTGACGGGTAAAACTCCCGACTAGATGGCAACCATTCAAACAGCGCCTTGGGCCAGACGCGCAGAGAGCTCCGACTAGGGTCGTTCCTCGCACGGATGCCATCTTCTCGGGCAGTCTACTTCAGCAAAAATGGGGGGGGGGGAGATTTCAACAGGAACCCCTACACCTCCGCTGTGTGTCCATCTGGGTATAATGGCCAGTGCCTAATCCCGGGTCGGTTCTCCTGCAACGCGGCGGTAGTTGCGTTCCTGAAGAACACCGCGTTATGGACAAATCGCGTTGTAATGTTGAATACAGGGCGTGGTAAAGCACAGTCCGGGGTTAACGCGTGAGGTGCGTACGCAGGCTGAACAAAGCCTGAGGCGCGTGGGTAGCTTCTGGAAGCATCCAGCAGCATCCCCAATGCATTGCGCCACGACTCTACGCCGAGGCAGCCGAACAGCCGCCTGTGCCTACTCGCGCGGCGTAGTTCTGTTCACTCGATCGCGTTACATCCAATTCGAATCCAATTCGCGTCCTGAAAACACGCCTTATAGGAGAACAGACAGTACCACCGTCCAGACGCCAGGGCTTTGAATTGGGGGGTTCCTGATCCTTTTGCATCCTCTGCTCATGATCATTAAGAACAGTCATCAGCGGTGCTCAGGCCCCGGGTCAAGCCGCGTGGCCGGGAGTCAGAGACATTTCCCGTCCACGTTTGGGGGGGGGGGGGGGGTGGTGTCACAGGGATGTCCTTTGGTCCCAAGCACTACGAAGCGTATTTTCTGACCACGTACAGATCGAGAATTGTCCATGGCTGTACCACGTGGCTGTACCACGTGGTAACAGGTACAACAACAGAGTGCTGCTGATTGCATTGATACCTGGGTGAGGTCAAGGCATAGCTCCCTATACTGGTTAACCATTCATTCTGTATGATGATGATGATGGTCCAGTAAATGCCGTCACCTTAACACAATGCACCACAGTGGCTAGGAGATGTGAACTACCGCGCCTGGCCTACAGGAGGTCGTGGGTTCAATCCCGACCCCGACGCCTGCTGCTGCATATTTGGAGTTTGCGTGTTCCACCCGTGGTCGCGTGGATTTTTCTCTGGTTCCTGCGGTTTGTTCCCTCCACATTTATAACCAACACATCACGCGTTTCGAGTATGTGGCTGCTATACATTTCCACAAGATGAGCCACTTTGTTGAGCTATGATTTGTGGCCAGGTCGCTTCTGAAATATAACTATATAGCTCAGCGGGCCTTACCTGGTAAAATAAAAAATGGTTTAGTTTATAATACGCACTCTTCTCTAGCTCAAAGATCAAGATACCCCGTGTATAATAGAGGCTTTTTTTTGGGTTAGGTCGCGTAAATATAAATGTGTCGTTAAATCGCCACCACCCGACACAGCCAATTAGTAAGGTTTGTCACGCAAACATACCCCGTATAGCCTTGACACCTATGAAGGACGGTACGGCACACGAGGGGGTAGGTGGCCAGCACCAGGCCCGGCCGCCTTTGTCTCCCCAGTGGCGATGCTTACTACACCTGTGCTCATTTGAGGCTGATTCGACCTAGGGGAGGCCCAGGGCAAGTTCATGTTTTCGCCGCCGGTGTTGATGGCCGTGAGCGGGAATCGAACTCGGGTCGCCGGGTTCGTAGCGCAGCGTAGCGCTAACCGCTACACCACAGCTCTCCTCACACTCACCACCACCACCCTCACCACAATGTGGATTATAATGCGTCAAGTTTCTACGGTGCCCTCTATCATACCAACCCGCTACCTTGCTACCGAAGTTGGCATTTCGCCCGCTTATTATTTATTGGCTTCGGCGTCAGGGGGCAGGGTGGGTCGGGGGAGGGCAGGGTGGGGGTGGAGGGCAGGGTGAGTGAGGGGGGGCAGGGTGAGTGGAGGGGGGCAGGAGGGCAGGGTGAGTGGGGGGGGGGGGCAGTGGGGGCAGGGTGGGTGGGGGGGGGGTCCCAACTCACAAATCCATATCCGCGGGACTTGCCCGTCTGCCGGTCGGTGATCACGACCGCCTCATCGATCTCCCCGAACGCCTCGAAGTACTTCCTGAGCGACGCGTCCGTGGTGTGGTAGGGCAGCCCCCCGACGAAGATCTTGGTGAAGGTGGTGTCCTTCTGCATCTCCACCCTGCTGTCCCGAGACACGCACACACACACACAGATCCTCCGTATAGCCTGAACGGACTGTTGGGGCAAGCGCCTTCAGCGAGCGCCTATGAAGGCCGGCACGGCACACGAGGGGGGTAGGTGGCCAGCACCACGCCCGGACGCCTTTGTCTCCCCAGCGGCGATGTTTACGCACCGCACCACGTACTCGTTTGAGGTTGAGTCGACCTAGGAGAGGCCCAGGACCGGTTCAGATAATCGCCACTCGGTGTTGGCCGTGAGCGGGAATCGAACTCGGATGGCCAGGTTCGTAGCGCAGCGTAGCGCTAAACCGCTACACCACCGCTCCCAACACACACACAGATGGAGGGACTCACACACACACAGAAAGAGAGACAGATATAGATACAGAGATAGGCAGAGACAGATAGAGGCATGGGCATAGATACAGAGAGCGACAGATAGAGACACGGACAGATAGAGACAGAGACATATTGGTACAGAGAGTGAGAGAGAGAGATGCAGAGAGACGCACATAAGTGAAACCACTCACACTACACGCCTAGACCGATACCGTGCACGTGTTCACCTGGTGTCCACCGTGTGTGTGGCCACCGTGTGTGTGGCCACAGTATGATAGCTCAACGTATTCGTTCATGAAAGTCAACTCGGCTCGTGCATGTGTAACTGAGATACACCCTGCGTCTAAGTCGAACTCTTTATGAGCCCTGCCTTGGTACAAATTGACGCCAATTCCTGAGCGACTCACTGAGCGACTCACTGAGTGACTCACTGAGTGACTCACTCAACAACTCAGCGACTGAGTAGCGGACCGAAACATATTCACTGGACGGCCCCTAAGCAACTGACTGGTTTATTAACTGGGCGACTGATCGACTCACTGAGCGACTTACTGAACAAGTTAAGTGACTGAGTAAGTTGACTGATCTAGTCACTGAGCTGACTGACAGACTGATCTATTCACTGAGCGACTCACTTGACATTCTAGTGACTGAGTAAGTTGACCGATCTAGTCACTGAGCTGACTGACTGAGAGACTGATCTATTCACTGATCGACTCCCTTGACATTCGAGTGCCTGAGTAAGTTGACTGATATAGTCACTGAGCTGACTGACTGACAGACTGATCTAGTCACTGAGCTGACTGACTGACAGACTGATCTAGTCACTGAGCTGACTGACTAACAGACTGATCTATTCACTGAGCGACTCACTTGACATTCGAGTGACTGAGTAAGTTGACTGATGTAGTCACTGAGCTGACTGACTGACAGACTGATCTAGTCACTGAGCTGGCTCACTTGACATTCGAGTGACTGAGTAAGTTGACTGATCTAGTCACTGAGCTGACTGACTGATCTATTCACTGAGCGACTCACTTGACATTTGAGTGACTGAGTAAGTTGACTGATATAGTCACTGAGCTGACTGACTGACAGACTGATCTATTCACTGAGCGACTCACTTGACATTCGAGTGACTGAGTAAGTTGACTGATCTAGTCACCGAGCTGACTGACTGACAGATTGATATAGTCACTGAACTGAGCTGACTGACTGACAGACTGATCTAGTCACTGCGCTGACTGACTGACAGACTGATCTATGCACTGAGCGACTCACTTGACATTCGAGTGACTGAGTAAGTTGACTGATCTAGTCACCGAGCTGACTGACTGACAGATTGATATAGTCACTGAACTGAGCTGACTGACTGACAGACTGATCTAGTCACTGCGCTGACTGACTGACAGACTGATCTATTCACTGAGCGACTCGCTTGACATTCGAGTGACTGAGTAAGTTGACTGATGTAGTCACTGAGCTGACTGACTGACAGACTGATCTATTCACTGAGCGACTCGCTTGACATTCGAGTGACTGAGTAAGTTGACCGATCTATTCACCGAGCGATTCAGCGACTGAGCGACGCAGCAAGGGGACTCGCATAGCGACCACGTTACGACGGGGGACCTGCAAGTACGACACGGGACATTTCCTGAAGACTTCACTCAAAAGCAGCGTCGCCCGCCCATCGGCGCAACACGGTGGTCGTTTGGTTGGGTGGTGGTGGTGGTGGTTGCGGGTGACTTCCCTCCAGCGGACTCACCGAGTGAACGATAAAAAAGAAAAGCAGAACGACTTCTCCTTCGCGGCTGCGATAAAACAACAACAAATCCTCCCCCCCCCCAAAAAAAATCCCCCAAATCCAGCCGAGTAGTCACCGGGGCTCGCTTGCGACGAGCAGAGTCGCTGCAAAACTCAACAGCAGCAGCAGCAGCAACAGCAACAGCAAAAGAGGTACTCGACGAAAGGCGAGGGGGGGGGGACTTGAACCTGGTGGGTCGACTGAGCTACTACAGATCAACGCTACGACTGAGTTGAGCGAGTGGCTGAGAGGGGGGCGGGTTGAGAGAGGAGAGGGAGGGGGGGTGTCAAGTTGCTTGGAGCCACAGATAGACCGGGCACGTGGAGGAGAGGGATATTTAGAGACACTCGCATTGCCAGCCCCGTGTCCCGTGAGGGTCCCGCCATCACCACCACCACCTCCAACATCACCACCATCACCACCAGCTCCAACATCACCGCTACCACCAGCTCCAACATCACTACCATCACCAGATCCAACATGACTACCATCACCAGCTTCATAATCACTACCATCACCAGATCCAACATCACTACCATCACCAGCTTCATAATCACTACCATCACCAGATCCAACATCGCCACCATCACCACCAGCTCCAACATCACCACCATCACCACCAGCTCCAACATCACTGCCACCACCAGCTCCAACATCACTACCATCACCAGATCCAACATCACTACCATCACCAGATCCAACATCACTACCATCACCAGATCCAACATCGCCACCATCACCACCAGATCCAACATCACCACAATCATCACCAGCTCCAACATCACTACCATCACCAGCTCCACAAGCTCCAACATCACCACCACCACCATCACCACTACTACCACCAGCTCCAACATCACCACCATCACCGCCAGCTCCAACATCACCGCCACCACCACCACCACCAGATCCAACATAACCACCATCAACACCACCCCCACTCCACAAACTCCAACATCATCACCTCCACCAGCAAATATCAACACCCGCCATTCGTCACTAAGTGACGGTGCACTTTGTGGCCACGTGAAGTGTCAAAGGCTCGCTGACAGCACGAGGTCTCGGGACAGATCCAGCAGGTGCCATATGTTGGCTGACTGAGATGACCGGTAGATGCACCAGCAGCTGTACCCCCTACTGTACCAACTTGCTGTATGTTAACCACCAGCTCCAACATTACCACCACTTTCACCACCAGCTCCAACATCACCACCATCATAACCACCACCATCACTACCAACATCACTACCACCAGCTCCACCAGCTCCACCACCATCACCACCAACATCACTACCACCAGCTCCATCACCGCCACTACTATCACCACCAATGCCACATCAATATCACCACCAACATCATTATCATCAACATCATCACCACCAGCAACATCACCTCCAACAATCGCCATCAACATCGCCACCAGCATCACCAACAGCATCACCAAAGCCAATTCCATCATGAACAGCATCACCAACACCATCATCGCCAACACCACTCCCACCAACATCACTAATTCCAACATCATCAGCATGACCAATCAGCATCATCACCAACATAACGATTAACAGCATCATGATCATCATCATCTTCAACAGCATCATCGACACCACCATTACCACGGCGACCTGAGTACAATTCACAACTAATGGTTAAATTTCAGTGGTGAGTGATATCTGAAACCGGTCCTCCTCTAGATGGACTCAGCCTTAAATGAGTACCGGGTGCGATGTATAAAGATCGCCACCGGGGAGACAAAGGCGGCCGGGCGTGGATTCTGGCCATACCACCCCGTCGTGCGACGATCTGGCGTTAACAGGTGCTCGCTATCGGCACTTTGCCCAACACTCTATCACGGCTATACGGGGGATATGTATCTTTGTTTTTGTCTTTCGCCACCACCACGGGGTAGAGTTCCTCTCTCCCACGTGGAGTTAAACTGGGAATAGCATGCGGTGACGTCGGCACGGCGCTCGTGCCAGGCTAGGTTCACTGTGAGCGCCACGTGAAGTGTCGAAGTCTCGGTGGCAGGATGTCACGGGACATGGTCTGGTGCCATGGGTTGACTGGCTGATAGGGCTGGCAGGTGCGACTTACAACAACAAACAGACAAAGATCCCCCGTATAGCTTTAACGGACTGTTGGGGCAAGTGCTGTTAGCGAGCACCTGTGAAGGTCGGAACGTGACACAAAGGGGTGGGTGGCCAGCACCACGCCCGACCGCCTTTGTCTCCCCAGTGGCGATGTTTTCACGCATCGCACCAGGTACTCATTCGAGGCTGAGTCGACCTAGGGGAGGCCTAGGACCGGTTCAGATAATCGTCACCGTGGTGTTGGCCGCGAATGGGGGTGGGGACAGTGGGGGGTGGTTGGTGGGGGGGGGTTAGTGGGGGGGGGACGGTGGGGGGTGGGTTGGTGGGGGGGTTGGTGGGTGAGGTGGGGGATTAGTGGGGGGGGACGGTGGGGGTAGGTTGGTGGGGGGGGGTGAGGTGGGGGGTTAGTGGGGGGAACGGCACACCACGCACACACACAACAACAACCGCCATTCGCCACTAAGTGGCGGTGACGTCACCACGACGCTTGTGCCAGGCCATGTGCACCCTGAGGCCACGTGAAGTGTCGAACGCCCGCTGGAGGGAGGTCACGGGGCAGACCCAGGTGCCACGGGTCGACTGACTGAGATGACTGGCTGATGCACCACCTGTGCCCCCTACTGTGCCAACCTGCTGTGCTTTAGCCACCCGGCGCTCCGCTCGTTGTTGTGAGCGTCGCTCCTCCGCCCTCCGTTGTTGTTGGAGGGCGACTGCCTCCAACTGCCCAGTAGCGTCCTTCACAAGCCTCCTCCACAGAGGCCGATCTTGACACCGCTGGTACCAGTCATCGGCAAGTCCACTCAGCTCCACGTCCTCCTGTACCACATCACTCCATCTCTTCTCTAGCCCGTGCCGCACCCGTTTAGCCCCCTCGATCCGGCCGAACAAAAGCTGTTTCGGCATGCGGTGGCTGGGCATGCGGGCTACATGACCCAGCCAACGCAGCCTTGCCCGCCGGAGGAGCTCACCAATGGGACCTTGCCCAGATCTTTCAAGGATTTGTGAGCTCCTCACACAATCCAGTCTGGTTAAACCCAGGATGGATCGTAGGCAGGCCAACCTAAATGTTTCTAACCGGCGAAGATGTTCCATTAGGGGGGTCCACGTTTCGCAAGCGTAGTGAAGGGAGAGAATGACCGTGGCCGAGAAGACCTGAAGCTTAGTGCGGAGCGACAGACCAGGTAGCTTCCACACAGCGTTACGCAACCGATGAAAAGATATTGCCGCTCGACTGAATCGGAGTGAGACCTCTGCTGTTAAACTGGAGCCAGTCATAAGCACACTGCCCAGGTACGGGAAACTCTCCACTCTCTCCACAACTGCCCCATCACCGATCGGGAGTTGTGGGGGTGGAGTGTCCGATGGTACAAAATACCCAGGCAGGTGCTTAGTTTTGGTGGGGCTGATGGTAAGGCCCCACCTCTTAGTGGCACGCTCCAGTCTCAGCAGCAGCGTCTCCAACTCCTCCTCTGACTGAGCAGCTATTACCAAATCATCAGCATACATAACGTGGTTGAGCAATAGGGAGCCATCCCTTGACCGCACCCGGGCATCGATCAGCCTCCCATTATATCTGTACCATATGGAGATTCACCCGGTACAGCTATTGAAGGCTTCACAAACTACGTGGTCAAAATAGATGTTAAATAATGTGGGAGCCAGAGGACATCCCTGTCGCACCCCAAGGGGTACAGGGAATGGCTCTGACTCCCGGCCACGTAGTTTTACCCGGGCCCGCTCACCATCATGAAGGTCCTTAATGATCGTGAGCAGAGGGTCAGGTACTCCAAAAGCACGAAGAACGGCCCAGAGCCCAGGCCTACTGATGGTATCATAGGCCTTGACCAGGTCAATAAAACAGAGATGTAGGTCTTGTTGGAATTCCTTACACCTCTGCTGTAGCAGACGGACAGAAAATATGGCATCTGTGCAGGACCGCCCTATCCTGAAACCGCATTGGGGCTCCGCAAGCCTCTCCTCAGCGTGCCTGGCAAGACGATGCTGAATAATCCTTGCCAGGACCTTTCCCGGCACACTGAGGAGTTAGATGCCCCTGTAGTTGTTACAGTCTGCATCCTTCCAATCCTGCGGAACCCGTCCAGTGGTCCAGACTGTTGTTATGATGTCATATAGGGCAGTCTGTGCACAAACTCAGCATTTCGCTTGGGAGATCATCTCATGGATCGAGTCATGGTGCAACAGGCCCCCCTCCCCCCGTGCTAATATTTAATATTTCTTTAAAACAATTTTTTTTATATATATTGCGATCATAATTTCCTAGCTATTTTTTTCTCTCTCAACCTTTATTGTTCATTATCGATTCATTTCACTGCGACTTGTTGCTTCTGTCGGAGAAAACGGCGTTGTTTACGTTGACGACGTTGTTTACGTTGACGACGTTGTTTACGTTGACGACGTTGTTTACGTTGACGACGTTGTTTACGTTGACGACGTTGTTTACGTTGATGCGACGTTGTTTACGTTGACGACGTTGTTTATGTTGACGACGTTGTTTACGTTGGTGACGTTGTTTACGTTGACGACGTTGTTATTGTTGACGTGACGTTGTTTACGTTGACGACGTTGTTTACGTTGATGCGACGTTGTTTACGTTGACGACGTTGTTTACGTTGACGACTTTGTTTACGTTGACGACGTTGTTTACGTTGGTGACGTTGTTTACGTTGACGACGTTGTTTACGTTGACGACGTTGTTTACGTTGGTGACGTTGTTTACGTTGACGACGTTGTTTACGTTGACGCGACGTTGTTTACGTTGACGACGTTGTTTACGTTGACGTTGTTTACGTTGACGTTGTTTACGTTGACGACGTTGTTTACGTTGACGACGTTGTTTACGTTGACGACGTTGTTTATGTTGACGTTGTTTACGTTGACGACGTTGTTTACGTTGACGCGACGTTGTTTACGTTGGTGACGTTGTTTATGTTGACGATGTTGTTTATGTTGACGTTGTTTACGTTGACGACGTTGTTTACGTTGACGACGTTGTTTACGTTGGTGACGTTGTTTATGTTGACGACGTTGTTTATGTTGACGACGTTGTTTACGTTGACGACGTTGTTTACGTTGACGACGTTGTTTACGTTGACGATGTTGTTTACGTTGACGACGTTGTTTACGTTGACGACGTTGT